GCTGTGCAGGGGTTCTACATTACCTCCATACATGGTCTTTGGATTAAAAAAACAAATCATGACTGTTGTTTAGGATATGGAGAAACTGAAAAAAAAAAAAAACCTAATATGTTGCTAATTTGCCTGATTGCCTAAGTATTAATATTCTCCTGCCTCCAACTCTTGAGCATTAGATAGACTGGATAGTTGGAAAGATAAATGGATAGATGAATAATACATAAGTAGATATACACGTAATTTAAAAGGTAGAAAAAGTACAATTAATTAGTACACACATACACATATTCTTAAAATGTAAAATAACACCACCTTCTATGTGCAACTTTCTTGTGGTTTTCAATATAAAAGATATACTATGAATATGGCACCAGGTTTTTACAAAAGCTCATTAGAGCTAAGGACATTTTCATACTTCTGCTCAGTGTTACCTCAGGACTCCTATACACAGATCCACAAGGTAAGAAACACAAGTGAAGATAACCCAAGCAGGTGAGCTAAGACACATCCAAACTAAAACATCGAAGTCACTCTTCTGACCTTCAAGCTGATTCCCGTAGATCTATCCTGTAGTGAGCATGCAAAACTCCATCGTTCCATGCAGCCAGAAAATAATAGGAAATTTAATAACTTTGAATCTCCAACAATGATTCAAGCAAAATAGAACAGAACAAAACAATTCTCTATGAGATCAGACAGATTACAAGATGGTTATACCTAAACAGAGCTTATTGCAAAACAAAGCCAACTCCAGCCATCACATCAGCCACCCTTCGTTTCTTTCTCCTTCTGCTCATCGTAGAAATCAGACACAAACACTCACAATTTCTCCTTACAAAGTTTATGACCCAAGGTCATGGTACCTATTTGTTCTCATAAATTACTTGATTGCACAAATAGTGAGACCCAGTCACTGACCTTTTTGTCCTCATTACAAAATAGAATCTCTGGGCATCTGCCACCACCTCCAGCAGTAGATATAACTGAATCCCAAACAGAAACAGTCTGATCTTATGATCAAGACAGACAACTACATGTGGATAGAAGGAATCCCTTCTGTCTGTAATGCCCAAAATTAACCTATAAGTCCCACCTGCTTAGGAATCAGGTAACTTCCTAGAATTCTGAGAATTGCAGTTCTTGTTATATAACAGTGTCATAGGAGAGTTCAATGGCTTATAGGGTTGACCTTATAAACCCCTGGAACATGACTCAGGGCCATTCTTGGGTGAGAAATTTCAGGAAATGGTCCTGACCAATTTATTATTTAGTATTTATTATTTAGTATTTAATAAAACTTGCTCCTAATTTGGCACAAAATGGTGGAGTTGATTTTTCTGGCAAATCTCAGGTTTAATATATGGGGTCTCTAAGTGAGATTACTCTACTTCACATTTGCTCTTTACTTTGTGATCCTGAAAAAGTAGGCTGCCGGGGTCAATGGCACCTTGGGATAGTTGACCCAGCTGACCCCAGGTCCCTGGAAAATGCTTTCCACTCTGGACTCCAGAGGTGAACAGCCACACTTGGAGAAAAACAGCAAGCATTTTTAGCTAGCTTGCTCTTTTTTCTGGCTTCTGATTATGGGGTACCCTCTCTGATGAACAGGGGAAAGCTGATGTAGTCTGTACACCCCTGTTTGGGCACATGGAAGTGTCCCATAGCCCACTGGTTATTTATAGCTATTCTTATTTCTGGTTAACTGAGTTTGGAGTCCTGTGTATTGTTTTGTGCTTGAAGATGCCTGAAACCTTCTGATCAACAGAATTCCAAAACTTAGGGTGTTATGACATAAAATGCCAGTGCCAAGGAGTGCCCCTGAGTCCATCTGGGACTCTTCCCATGGGAATAAGTTCTCAAAACTTTTAAATCTTGTGTGGATACCGGTGTTTATTTTCCTGTTGTTAATGTGAATGACTGGGTCCACATGGGGTTAGGAGAATGCAGGTCCAGTTAAAGGAGTCTGTGAGGTTGGTCAGAGCTGAGGGGGTAGCTGTTTTGAAGCTATCCTGTTTTGAAGTTTGACGCAGATTTTGAAGAAACACCTGGAGTTGGCAGGATGCTGGGACAGATTAGATAGATAAATATGTAGATAGATAGATAGATAGATAGATAGATAGATAGATAGATAGATAGATA